TCAGTTTAAAGGCTAATAAAATAATTGCTGCTGTAATATTTTCCCTATAATTATTAAAAAAACAAAATAAGTATAAATAAATATTTATATTTGTGTACAAGCTGTTTAGATTGTCAAAAATTCAGTGTTTTTAGGGTTATTAATGAAGTTCGTGTACTCAGACCAGTAATATTTGGGGTCACAAGTTTTTGCCATGAATATTTTATGGGTCAGAAAATAAAAAGTTTGGGAACAACTGGATTAGAGAACATGTCAATGCCAGACAGAGTTCAAGCAGCAGACACRTCTCTAGAACAACTGTTAAGAGGAGACTGTGTGAATCAGGCCTTCATGGTAAAGTAGCTGCTAGGAAACCACTGCAAAGGACAGGCAACAAGCAGAAGAGACTTGTTTGGGCTAAAGAACACGAGGAACAGACTTTAGACCAGTGGAAATCTGCTTTGATCTGATAAGCTCAAATGTGAGATCTTTGGTTCCAACCACCGTGTCTTTGTGCGACACAGAAAAGGTGAACAGATGGACTCTACATGCCTGGTTCCCACCATGAAGCATGGAGGAGGAGGTGTGATGGTGTGGGGGTGCTTTGCTGGTGACACTGTTGGGGATGTATTCAAATTGAAGGCATACTGAACCAGCATGGCTACCACAGCATCTTGCAGCCGCATGCTATTCCATCCGGTTTGTGCTTAGTTGGACCATCATTACTTTTCAACAGGACAATGACCTCAAACACACCTCCAGGCTGTGTAAGGGCTATTTGACCAAGAAGGAGAGTGATGGGGKGCTGCGCCAGATGATCTGGCCTCCACAATCCAGATGGTTTGGGGTGAGCTGGACCGCAGAGTGAAGACAAAAGAGCCAACAAGTGATAAACGTCTCTGGGAACTCCTTCAAGACTGCTGGAAAACCATTTCAGGTCCAAGAGAGTGCAAAGCAGTAATCAAAGCAGAAGGTGGCTACTTTGAAGAACCATAAGACATATTTTCAGTTGTTCCACTCTTTTTTTGTTAAGTATATAATTCCACGTGTTGAAGGTGTGTCAAAACCTTTGGTCTGTACTKTGTGGCGTTTTGTGTGATATGATGCAATATTGTGAAATCTGGTGTGATTTGTTAGCATTTGAACGATGTATCAAAAAATACTCAGGTAATACCATGCTGAAATTTAGCCAAAATAGCTTCAAATTTTAGCAATTTTTGTGTTAGATAAGATCTGTCAGCTGTGGCAGCCATCTTGAATTATGCTGAATGCAAAAGGTAATAATTTTAAACAAACATCTAATGGTTACTTTCTAAACGTTTCATTAAAGTCCAACAAGTAGTTCATGAGATATTTTGCTAACCATGAAACAGTGTCAATTCCAACACAATGTCAACGTTTAAAGAAAAATAGAGGTTAGCTCAGCATCGGCTAACGTGACCAAGTCATGACCATATTTGTGCTGGAAGGCCCATTAGCTGTGGCAGCCATCATCAGACTTCAGAAGTTGAAGAGTTGTAGTCCAATATTTGCTCTCTGAAAACCTTCATTAAAATTCATCTGGTGGTTCAGAAGATATTACGCTAACAGAGAAACAAACACTGACAGGCAGAAACGTTTTCAGGCTATATCAATAAGAATAAAAACACAAGTCAAGGTTTGTAATTTTCAGAAATATATTCTATAGATGGTGTCAGAGATGAAATGTCCAAAGCGTAGGTCCCAAAGAAAGAGAAAACTTTTCATCAATAGAGACAAACAAACAAAAAAATAACGTTTTTTTTCTTCTCTTTTTAAAATCCATTTACATGTAAACCAAGATTTGCTCTTGAGCCACAGTGGTTATATATATATATTTATATATATAGAACTGGCCGAGGTGGATGTGACAATCAAACGACGGTGCCCTTATGTTTGAAATCCTCCGATGTTTTCCCATCGCTGAAAAGTCTGTAAAAGAGGAACATTCTTTGGGAGTTTTTGTTGTTATTTTTTTCCAAGGTGTGCCTGTATCAGAGGTTTGGCAGAGCACGTCTCTCTCAAACACAGTCCATAAGTGCTGAATTGTGTTCAAATTGGGATTTTCAAAATAAAATACCAAATGCTTCCCGGAGGCGTCATTTTCAGCCGTTCGCCCACCAAAGAAGAAGAAAGCCTTCCCGCCTGGTGCTCCTGGGGAGGGTTTTTAAATCTGTTCTCAAGTCCTCCAGTGTTTTTCTTCTGTTGTGCAAATACATTTTTAAAATCTTTTTGAGTGTGTGTGTTTGTGTGTGTGTGTGTGTGTGTTTGTTTTTTGTTACATAGACAAGCAGGCATGCTGACTCACAAACCATGCAAAGAGTTAAAGTTGAGCAGACAGCAAAAAATTCTTTACTAAAAAAGGTCACTTTAAAAATTAAAAAAATAAATAAATAAAAGAAGCCAAATTAAACAAACACGTGGAATGTTTTGATAAAATTAATCTGAAATCTTA